GCCAAGCACATCACGAGATTACCCGATAGTCACCTGTTACTTTTAACCAATCAAAATCGTGAAATTTGGTTAATCCGAAAATCAAAACAAATGATTAAACTCATTTATCTCAAAATGAGATATATGTAAATCTGGGCTGTTTTAATTGGGGACACCCCATAAATCGATATTATTCCCCGTCCCTGCATTTTGGGAATTAGATCATGTGCGTGTGCTACAATCGATCTTATTTATGTCATTTGACTTTACAAACGCACAAACGCGTCCACAATATGTCAACAGGTGGATTACCGGAAGAAACTCTAAAGAAAGTGCAATATCGGGGTAAGTATTTATTGTTCTTCACTATATTAAATGATAATAAATATTCTAACCTGCAACCGTATATCAGAATATTGGGAGGAACCACATTCCAAGTGGGGAAATACAGATACGTGGGATCACTATTTCATCGAAAAGATACCAGATGCAACGAAGCACAAGTCACATAATGCTCTAGCCGCTGAATTAAAAGTTTTGATTCAGAACTTAAGACCAGAAACAAGAGCAGGCAGAAAGGCATTAGCGATGCAACGTGATTTGAGGGTCAGTATTTTTACGAAACGGCAAATGTGCTACACCCTGTGCTGCTGGTATGGGGAAGAAGAGCGCTCAGTCTTATGTACACCATGACATGCATACTTTGCTGTGTGCTACGCCCTACGCTGCTGGCTTATGGAAGAAGAGTGTCTGGTCTTTACATCACTGCAGCGTGCATATTTTGCTTTTTCATGGGAGTCGTACCCTGCGACCGCTGGTCGAGTTGAGGTCAATTTTGGGCCGAGATGGGAAGCGAGTCACAATCTAGTATATACTCATTGTGACTTGTGCTGTTCCCCGTTGGCTTAGCAAATTTTTTTGCTAATCTTTTTTTACTATTTATTTCGTTTATTAATATTACAGAAAAATGGGAAACACCTTGAAGATCCACCTGCTTACGATACGATACAATCACACAACATCGAAGACGAGGTGTCTAATTCACAAACACATCCAACCGTTGAGGAACTAATATTTGATACACATATTGCCACATTACTCCTACAATATAGAAGAGTTCTTGAAGAAATGAGGAATCATTACGTAGAACAAGAATCACAACGAGGCCGACACTTATCTAATATGCTTAAGTGGTCTGTTGTGGACCATTCTCTGTTTAATGGATTCAAGTTTGTTGTCAGCTTACTAAGACCAGCTATTAACATGTCATTATTGGAACCTATCCTTATGGAGAGCCGGAATAAACCAATTCATCACGTAGTCACGATTTTACGCAATTTGATTACTAAAGAAATTGTAGATGATATAAGCCCTGGCTTTAAAAGATGGCTAGAAAGATTATGGAAAGTTCGTATAAAGGAATACTACATAATTGATACAATAACGGCATTAACCGCTATCACTTCAGTTATTTTTTACTCACCTACACCCTGCCGAGGTCCAGGGAGTAAACCATCAGAAAACCATATAAAATCACAAATGTGGGCCAAAATCTTTTCGGATACATTTCTCATTGATTCAGACGATATTGATGTGAATTGGGAATATCATCACCAAATCCCGGGTAACGGTGGAAGCGGATCTGCTAGATCTGATATTGCTGCTGTTGTTTTCAATGACACCGATCAACAGTTTCCCTTTTTTATAGCTGAATTTGAGACTGACGGATTTTCAGTACATAAGGATAAAATGGTCGTGGCGGCAGAAGCTGCATTCGAATATAATCGTATTCTTACAGCTGCCTACTATTTATCGGAAGATGAAGTAAATTCATCTCGCCTGCATATTGGCCTTATAAATGGGACAACCATTCATCTGGGTTCGATGAAGCCGATCTATGACGAAGAAAAAAAATCTTTGATTTATGCCTACGAAATAAACAATGTCACTTTCAAACTCTACACTGGTAATCAAGAGGCCGATATTGCAAGTGCACTGAAGTTAGTGGCATACTTGAGAACAAATGTATGTCAGGATGGAATATCACTTAAAGCATTACTTAACAGGAAAAAAAATATGCGCAATGGAACTTTATTAGCAGCTTTGCCCCGTCTTCCGAAGAGAGCCGTCAAGTCACGTCCAAAAAGTGATACAGAATTCACTCCTCAGGCGAGAAGAATTATATATATCGATGTTGGTTTGAATAATGATAATAATAATGTTCATTAGGATTTAGACTGAATATAAGATATACAGGAGGTTAGATTAGATATTTGTAGGAAAGAATTAGAATTGATGAAAATTAATAAATGACATAAATTACGCATGCAAATTTCTATTCCACTTATTATATAATAAATTATTTATCGGGTATATGATAAAATGTCAATACAATGTTTGTAATACATACCCAATATAGATCCATATATCCGATATAGATTTTTATGAGATTACGGAGTGATACGATCAACTCATTTTTTTATTGAAGGACGTGCTAGAGTTTTCTGTGTCTTGAATGTTAATATTGGATACCTTCAAATTTTTGTTTATGATCAAAAATCTTACTATCAAGATTCTCGAGTTTTCTAAATAACACGTTGTCATAAATATCTAATACTATTAAGTTGATTTAATCTCACAATAATTGAATGTTAATCCGCATGCATGTGACGTTAGGGTGACTAATCGCAAATTACATTGTAAAAAATCATGTAAAAAATCATGTAAAAAATCATGTAAAAAAAGCATGTAAAAATAAAAGATTAGGACACAGTGAGGGCCCCTTCTTTATTTAATATTTTTTTTGCCGAACTGATATTATACAAATAAAGAAATTATATTTATTTTTCGTTTAGAAATTTTCGAAGTAATGAACCATCATTAGATTTTGTTTTCAAAGTTACACTATCAGTTATCTTTGTTCCATCTTTTCGTATTTCTTCATGCTTTCCTAATATTAATGAAATAAAAAACTTAATTCTGAAAAATATCGCTTTAGTAACAAATAGATAGAGTTTTCTTACTAATTAGAATAGTTTCTGTAGGTTTTGGTTTAGATGGCGTTGGGTTATTAGTCATGGGAGTAGTAGTGTCATAGGTGGTAGTAATGGTGGTAGTGGTGGTGTCAGTCGTGGGGTGGTGTCATTGGTTGTGGGGGTAGTATTATCGTTAGTGGACATTTCACGTTTCTAAATAAAAAAAATATAGTAAGTAAAGTTTCGTTTTTATAGACTATTAAATGGTATAATACATTACTTTAAAAATAAATTATGAACGGGCAAAAAATATGTATTGACAAAAAAAATATTATTATAACCCACCCTATAAGAAACAAAAAAATCGTTTATTTTATACTTCACGTTCATTAGATCTAGAGAACCTGCTAGAAAGAAAATTACAAGTAATTATGTTACTCTAACACAATGCCAGATCACACTTAACAAAGAAACTCCGCTCGGACATAACTTCCAAACGCCGGATCTATTTTATTGTTTTTTCTGGTGAAATTAACCACCTTAGATTCGACGATCACTTAAGGAAGGTTTAGATCTGACGATCTCGGGAGATGGCGGAGATTCGAAGTCCCTGTAACATATGAATTTGGATAAAACTACTGATAAAGAACGTTATAC